AAACACTGTCTGCAACAGTCAGCATCACAGATCTGAGTTACACCTACAAGCAGGCAGAAGGGAAAGTGTAAAGAAAAAAAAAAAAAAAAACTACTACAGCCTTTGACTTTCCTGACCCTCCCTGATCGATTGCACAAGGGTACAAAATTTAAAAGTGAACAAATGGATGCTTGCACAACTGAAAGACAAAAGTTTTAAATTATGAGCAATTCTGTCTAAAGCTGTTACTTCTTTATGGGCAAGGACCTGCCTTCTTTGAATAAAGACCTCTAACCTTGACATTCCATTATTCACTGACATTTAGTGGGAGCTAACATGGGGCTTAAAAAATCACTATTCACAGGAGAGGCATGAGAAGAGAAGCTGAGATCTGAAATATCCATTGGAGTTTGAAAACAGCAAATGTTTACTAAATTATTCTTGTGCTAAGGGCTTTATATGTTTTCTTCAAAATATCCTGATGAGTTAAGTTCTCAATGTAAAAGGGGAAGCTGAGGCTTGAAGAGGTCACACAGTTGGATGATGAAAGGGACACTGGAGCCAGGCAGTCGGCCTCTTGAGTCCATGCTCTTACCACTACACTCTACTGCATTCAGGCACGAACCTTCTTACTCAGCTCAGTCTCGTCGTGATTTGCCTCAAATAGGGTGGTGTGGCTCCTAAACAGTGCTGATGGCTGATTGGTAGGCTTCAGAGATCTGCTTGCTGTCAAAGAGCGTTTTGAAGTTAAGAGACACGGTAGGGATGCTGTTTGTAGAGACGTGGTGGGGATGGAGGTTGAGTGACCATTCAAGAAAGATTCTATAAGGAAGTGAGACTGTGCAGTACAGGCCTTTCTCTTCTTCTCCATAATGGGGCTCCTGTTTCTGCATTATAGGAACCAAGCTCACAAGATACTAATGTACAGGATTCCAACTTATTAATTTGCAATATTAAGATATATCTTTCTAGTGAGTGGCCAGAATATTCACTGTTCAGAGAACTCTCTTCTAAGAATCAAGGTTCATGGAAACCTCTTTAGTCATCTTAATTTAATTTGCTGAACTTAAATGAGAATAGAAGAAAAGGATGGTGCTGATGTCTGGAAACTTGGGAGTGCAGCTAGAATTACAAAAGGCCAGAGGCAGCCCAGGACCAATTAGTTTAGAAACAAATATTAAAACAGAAGTGCTACAACTGAAGATAAAGTAGTGCAGCCGAGCACAATAATGAGTGTTTATAAAGCTGATGCTCTTACTTACGTGGAATCTAAAAAAAAATGTTGAATATACAGAGGTAAAGAATAAAATGGTGGTTGCCACAGGCCGGGCTGGGGGGTAGGGAGGAAATGGAGAGATGTAGATCAAAGGATACAAAGCAACAGATATGCAGGATGAATAAGTCCAGAGATTCAAGGTGCAACATGGAGAAGATAGTTAATAATACTGTACTGTATTTAGGACTTTTTTTTTT